ACGTAATAAATGATAATGTTTTAAGAAAATGAATCAAAAATAACTCTATAATGTAAATTATTTATCATTGGTAAGATATGTTCAAGTGATATTGTAAAGGTTAGATTTTTTAATTAATTACAGAACTTTATCCTCAAAAGAAATGTAGTTATCTTACGATTTTTCATTAAGTTTATGTGTGTGCAACATTATTTGCCTGTACATTGGCATAATTACTTTATTTTAATAAACAAGTGGACATCATTAGCTCTAGACATTCACGTGTTGCGCTGATTTTTAAATAGTATTTGTAAAAGTCTCCTACCCTATAAGCTACATTTAAAAATTGGAGCAATAGTAACGTTAAAAAGAAAATTAATACATGTAACAGTTTGTGTAATTGTACATGATTAAAAATCTCACAATCATTTCAGTATAATATGAAAGCAAGAACAAGAACTTGATGAAAACTGAAAAATAAAGTTTTTACACCAAGTAGAGCTTTAAATGAAGTTAATTTATCATTTTTACCTCTTATACCGTTTGTTACCATTTGTTATGACAATAAATATCACGGACAGTGCTTCAAAAATATTGGCTTGTCTTTAAAAAAAAACCTTTGTTTGTCCCCTGAAAATTCCATGTAGTGCTTAAAATTAAATCATAAATAAAAATTATTCATTGATGGTGAACATTCAACACTAAAACTGTTAAACGAATTTACAAATAAAAAAATCAATGAATATATTTGTTCTTTTGTTCTATCAAAAGTTGTGTACAGAAAAGTTTAATTTCTTAGCGGTTGTGTAGGGTTACTGCTAACAACCATAACGGTTACTATAATTTTATCGGACTTTAAAAAGTTTTATGAGAGCTCAATATCTTATTTTTTTGTTCATTTTTTTGTTTATTTTTGAAGTTTTTGTTACTGCATATTTTATTTTAAGCTGTGTTCATGAAAGTAAACAACTTGTATTTAAAAAAGGTAATCAATTAGAATTAAAACGTGACAAGAAAAGTTGTAACTCTAAAAGTTGATGCATATATTCGTTATCATATTCAAGGCTTAGCACGTTGCATTAGTAGCACGTTATATTAAAAGGACCTCGCACCAGCCTAATAGTATTGTGGTTCCCAATCAAATATTCTAAAATTTTAATGTTGTAATTTTTGCCTTTCTAAACAACAGTTACCATAGATACAAGTCCTGAATACAAACACTTTTAGAGAAAATTATCATTTAAGTCGCTAATTTGGTAAAGGTAGGCTAATTTGGCAGCGCAGTACAATGAATGGATGAAGCTTGTTTGTGTACAGACGTATAATTAAAAAATGTGATATCAAGTGCTTCTACAGTTATTGGCAAACAATAAGCATAACATAGGATTGTTTATGTTCAATTGATAGTAGGGTAGCTCACTTGTATTATTGTCTTATTATCTCATATGATAAATAGATAGTCTCTAGCATGCGAAAGCGCTGATCGTAATAAACTGATAAATAAGTGGTTTTGCTATTTTTTAACTATGATTATTAGCTTAAAAATACTAAGTCAAGTTAACCAAAAGAAGCCATCACAATTATTTTTGTACAAATAGATCAGCTGATCCTACTTTTTAGCATACCAATTATTTAATGACTTGTATCACCATCATCATAAACAAAATCTATTTTGTAATTAATTGTAATTAGATTAATCATTTGCCAATAGTTAATAGTTTAAAAAAAATTAAAGCAAATCCAATAAGTGTTTATCAGCATGTTTAAAGACAATTGATAAATAAACCATGCTTTATTTGCTGTTATTATTCATGCAATAATATACAAGGATTTTCAGAGAAAGGTAAGGTAAAAGCTTTTATTTATGATAACATTTTTTTCCAGCTATAGTCACATCATGTAACTATCACCTAGACGAGAATAGTTACATTCACGTATTTTGCTACATAACTAGCAAACTATAGAACGGACTTGTATTATGCCAGAGCAATACTTACAGTCATTTTTGAAGGATTTGATGAATCCTCACAAAAAATTGATCAATTACAGCGATTCGACTGATGAAGAAACATGCATTGTAACACATGCATTATAATTAATAATTAAATAACGTTAAACATTATCCGTATCTGTCTATGAAAAAATATTAACAAATTAGTTTGTATCGATAAACAAGCATTAAAAACATCTCGCAACTATTGTATACGTTATGTGATTGATATAGTTTCATGATTATCATCGAAATTTTACTCCCCGTAAACATATTTACATATATAATAGTATGTATGCCTGTGACTACATTTGTACGTATCTTCTTATGTTACACAGTTGTTGAGGTGGGACTTTCCACGCTACCTCCACTTTCCTGGCTACCCCCTGAAAATGAGGGAAAATTCAATCCCTATCAATAATATTTTAACCGAATAAAATAATATCAAGAGTCCGCTAAGCCACTCTAGCCCCGCACACAATTTTTAAAGCCCCCCGTGATCCCCTCACAGGTCCACCGTAAAATAAGAGTGGATTTCGTTGATTTGTTGGTTTCAAATACTTACGCATAATTCTAAGACGTGATATGATCACACATTTGTATTGAAACTCAAGTGGTAAAAAGCTAATAGAAACTGCAGTATTTATCACCAGTATCCCTACGAATCCACAAAGACATAGAGTTCCCTGCAACAACTATCAATTTATATAGTAATCTGTTCATTTATTACAATTTTTGTCACAATAGCTTACAATACTTTATTGAAATTGATTTGTATTTGTTTATGACTTTTTTTTAAACCCATCTGTCTCCAACCCATACCTATTCAATTATACGTGCCAACAAAAACAACTATTTAATACGTAAAGGTTATCATTTTACACAACTTTGTTATTTTACAAAATATTTCATTAATTTTACTTCTATATAGTTAGTGTAAATAGTGTGACTTATGTAATACAAATCCTCAGGTATAATACAAATTTAATCTGACATGTTTTAAGCATTATTATTCAATCAAATGATTTTATGACGTCTATTTTTTTCGTTGATTTGGCTTGATAAATTTAATAAACTCTTTTTCTTTTATACTTTTTTCAGAACCTTCCAGTATGGCTAGGTGGTTTATTTAATCCTGAAGCATACATCACAGCGACAAGACAATGTGTAGCACAAGCTAATAGTTGGTCCTTGGAAGAACTTCAACTTAATGTATCAATATGTAACAACGATGTTTCACCTTCAGACAGTTGCTCCTTCGCCGTGACGGGTTTAAAGTTACAAGGAGCTCAATGTAAAAACAATCAGCTATACTTGACTTCAACTATAATGACAGATTTGCATATAACGATTTTGAAATGGATACGTATGTCACCAATGGAGTCCAAAAACAAACTTTCACTGCCAGTTTACTTAAATAGTACAAGAACAGAACTTTTGTTCACAGTCGATTTAAATATAGCTCCTAGTCAGGATCCACATAGCTTTTATGAAAGAGGAGTCGCTATATTAACATCAACGGCTTTAAATTGATTAGAAGAACAAGAATTTTCTTGTACTTTATTTACCAAAAAAATAAAATTAACAAATTTCAAAATGTGTGGTGTGGTGATCTTCTGTAGCGTCATGTGTTGTAGAGAAAACCGGAAGTACATCTTGGGGAGCGAGGCAAAGGGGGACAATGATGCGAAATCCGCTTCCATCACCTTTTTTTTGAAGGTCAAAAAATGAGATCGTTGATTTACCCTTGCGCATAACCTGTTAATAGAAATATGACTTTAAAAATTTCAGTACTGTATAAATACAATCATTGATTTTTGCTGCATTTCCTTCTCTCAGATGTTTTCCTTTTTAATTGAGAACAAAATTCAGAGAGGTAGAAGGAGAGCAAACATATACTGCAACACTGAAAATTATTTTACTGATAAAGATAAACTTACTTACACGCTTTTACGCATGCTTGACCGCTTTTTTTGTGTTATTAAAAAAATAAAAAATTATAGATCTATTTGAAAATAAAACATGTTCATCTAACAGTAATCTTTTATACAAACAAAAAATGAGAGTTTTACATAGATCTTGCTAATTCAATATGAAGTAGTTTCGCCATAATGTTATATGTTAACTTGCAAATTTTTTAAATTACGCATGTGAAGAAAAATACAGTTTATTTATCTGTTATTTCATAAGGGTATTCCTTATTTTCTTAGGAAGTTGTTTTGAAACCATTAGAACATTCGATAAATGAGCACAGTCTTAGACTGGCCAGCTGCCATATTGTTCATATTGTATTGTGCTATAAAATGTTGGTGGGAATCGTTTTATTATAAAATATTAAAATATTCATTAAAACCCTACCCAACTAACGTAGGTATACTAATTTTATCAATAATTACACCACCTTCGTATATAATATCTTTTCATACGAGATATACTTATTTATAATTCATCTCGCTTTTTTAGTTAATTTTTCTTGAAAACTAAGTTGTCGTCAGACTTTTTGAACCTTAGAAGTACTATAAGAATAAATAAAAGAACCAGATACAATTTTTGAGAGCTAGTAGATAAAGCTTTTCAGACTGCTAAATTGTTGGAAAAGGGCCTTAAAAAATAAATGTCTGATTTGAGGAGACCTAACATACTTATCAAGTACTTGTAAAATGGATGGAAATAAAATCCATGGTCAATGAGTATGTTTTTTACCTCTGTACAAAATTTAAGCATAGGTTGCTCCGGAAAATTTTTAGTAAAACGCGTTACAAGTGAGCACTTTATACATGGCCTCTTATGGAGACGGCACTTTCTCAAACTACTTCCTACATGAAAAAGAAACTAGACATGTAGAGACATGTAGTTTAACTATCACTTTTTGAATTGAACATAAGAAATATAAAGACTGCTGCAGAGTTTATTGAGATATTTCTTTCTGAAGTACACTTATAGACACGATTAGAAAAATGTTGGTTAGAATATCGTCAGCAATAAACGGGCCAAGCAGATATCTATTCAAAAATTTATTGTGAATGAATTAAATAAATATTTTTCTTTACTTTAGAACAAAGTGGTGCAGTATGATAAAAAAACCATACGATTTAGAATAGAAGTAGTTATGCGAAATGCGTAAACTCTCATTTAAAGTATTTATTAACTTATAATAGACGTTTCAAGGACATTGTTTAGCGACTAATATTGACTATCCTTATGTACCATGAAAGATTATATCTATGCAAACATCAACAACCACATGGAGCAGACAAAGATTTTGTTTTGCTCTGTAGTGGAAGTAATAATATGTATGGCTATGGTCATTACTGTACCTATATATGTTGTTGACTATATATGGTGTGTTGAGACTCCTTAAATGCAAATGTGTAAGCAGTGCCTAAAAATTACTATTTTTATGTGTAAAATCATTATAATTTAAATTATATTATTATTATCTCTACTACGAGCATAGTAATTTATATATAAACATTTTTAGAAGCGTCATAATCCCTATTGCAGCCACTCCTATTACTAATATTATAATTAGTATCGTTATTATTAGCATTATGATTATTATTATTGTTAATGTTAGCATTATCACAATTATAAAGTTAAAAAGATTGATAACAATAATTATAATTAGAATCTGTAACGAAATGTGAAATGAGAAGAGACGCAGTAAATGAAAAGTAATTTTCGCCCTTCAACGAGTATGTTCAACTGAGAAGATTAGGCTCGAAAATCTGTGACGACACTCCCGGTATTCTTTACAGGGGAACGAGCTGCAAACCTTACCTACATCATTGTAGTCAAGCCCAGAAGTCTCGGTCTGTGCTGGGCTATAGCTCAAAGCCACGTATGACACTGATACATGTAGCAACTAAACTACTAAATGATGTTTAGGACCTGGGTCACGTAACTATTAGATTGGATGACACATATATACACACATTAATGATTAAAAATTCTCAGTACATTGGATTAAAACAAATGTTAATTGATTTGAACATATTACCGATATAATACGAATTGCTTGCTTGTGTGTGTATCTGTAAAGAAAAGTCTGGAATATTACAGAAAATCTCGACGATGGGATAACTGTCCCTGGCATGCTTACAACTACAATCAGTGAACAACTACTGCATCCTAAGCAATGAAAAAATAGTTCAGTTTAAAAAAAAAAATAAATAGCTACAAGAGAACTTTTTAGGTATGGATTTGATTCAACTGATCTCATGTGCTTTTTTTCGTAAAAGATTATTACAAAACAATTGGCCATTAAAAAAAGGGTGCTAAATTTTTTTTATTGTTATTAATTCGTAAAAAAAGATTTTTAGAACGAAGCTCTTTATGTCGCGTACTGGAGGGGCTGGAATTTTAAAACCGACAGATTTGATGAAACTGAAGTGGCTTACCGGAAGTCTCTTTCTCCTAAGTTTCATCCCTTACCCCATCTCTCTCACCATCAGTTCCCTACACACTTCCCCTCACCCCACCATATACTTTTAACCGTCCCGCGCTACTCTCCTGCACACCTCTGCCCACCATTCTGCTTCACACTTCCAAGAAATTATTATTTAAACGAATTTTAATCTTATTTTGCAACAATAATTTTTATTTACGTTGAATTTTTTTCTATTACAATTCTTAAAAAAAAAAAAAAAAAAAAAAAAAAAAAAAAAAAAAAAAAAAAAAA